ACCGTGTTCCGTTCTGTATGATAGTATCAAGTTTGAGGGTATAGGCATCTACTTTGAAGGCAGTAAGATTCACTATGATGCCCATTATGGTTTGACTATTATCCTCTTTTGAAGTCCTGTAAGGTTTACAATGTTTAGGTTTTATTGGTCTTGTTCTCTACTGTTTTGTTCAACTTTATAATACCTAATGAGATAGACAATTATTCTTAAGGAAGCAAGAGGCATTCTGGTAACCATTGTTGATACCCTTGTATTCTGTTTTTACATCATGTGCTGTCTATCCTTGGTTTTGACTGACAGCTTTGTTCTGTCATATTTGATTTTATTTTCTTCCAAAAAATGTAATAAGAACTATGGGAGTAATAAAACCCAAAATGTGTAAATTTTGTTCTAATAAATAGAGGAAAATAAAGTGCTCTAAAGGATAGAACAGCAAGTGTATTTAGGTGTGTTAAATAGATGGCCACATTAATGTTTTTGATTTGATCATTGAACACAACTGTTTGCAGTCTCACTGTTCGAATATCCACTTTGTATGCTTTGATCCTGTGACTTGAACAACTATCTCTAAGATAATAATGTGTAATCTATTAACTGGTGATTTCTTACTTTTTTTTTGTAGTTCTGTATTACCTGTACTCTTACACTGTTTTGTTTTGTTTTTTCTCTTTTTCCTTTTAAATAAAATTTTAAAAAATAACAAAAGAAATAAAAATGACTTGTAACTCTTTCTGCTTTGTTGTTATATTTAAAATTGTATAAAATAAATAAAATGGGCATTTTGTATTTTCAAAAGATTCTGAAAAATAATTCAATTTAAGTGACTAGTACTCTCATTATTTGCTCTGTCAAGTCCCTAACAATGGCAGAAATGACTGATAATGACTGTCACTGTAGTCTGCCTCCTATATAGAGAGGCTCAAATTCATACAAGAAATCCTTTATGTCCATTTTTATATAAGAAGACAAAGAGTGCCACTGAGTCACAAAACGTTTAAATCTGAAATCAGTATAGCAGAGATTGCTACATAGAAATATTTGAGTAGCCTTAATTCAGTACATGTGCCTTAATGAAATTTTTTTGGTCTATCTTATTAAGTCAGTCTCTTAATATTTGATAGTGTTAAATGATCATTGGGCAATTGCCAAGAATCAGACCATGTATCTTACTACTCATTTTTTAGTAACTTCTGTTTCCAATATTACTGTAAGAGGACATTGTGATTTTGCAAAATCATTAAGGCAACAAAAGGCATCATGAGAAAAATGTGAAAAAGAATACTTTCCAAGAAATGCTGCATCTGTGGTGTGTGATTTATCATAATTTTGAATAAATTGCTTTCTTATATTTTCATATTACTCTTAAATGTTTTCAAATCATTAACATACATTTTCAACTTTGAATTTGGTGAGTGGAAAACCTCTTGTGAAAAGAAATTAATCACTACTCTTTAGAAATATTTTAGACTTTCTTAATTCATAGGATGAAAGGAATTCTTTATAACTACAATTACTTTGTTACAGTATCAGTATCCTTGCAGGCAAATAATGTGGCTTTAAGATGAAACACTTTCTCAAAAATAGTAAGACAACTAACTCAGTTAAAATAGGCAATAATCTGCACAAACACCAAAGGACATTATAGATGATAAATGATCAGATGAAAAATTGCTAAACATATTCTATCAAGAAGTGTAGGTTTTAACATCAAGATACTAATAGACATTTCATATCTTGACCAAAGCATGAGCCACTGAAAATACTAAATATTGACAAAGACATGGAACAACAGGAACATTTTGTTTTTACCAGGTAGTAATGCAAAATGGTATAGCTACTTTGGAAGACAATGTGCCATTTTTATACCAAACTAAACATGTTTTTGGCTTGCAATCTGGAAAAACTAGTGCTTGCTATTTACCAAGAAGCTCTGAAAATGTATGTTCATGTGAATACATATGCATGGAGGTATATAAAAGCTATTTGAAATTGACTAAAAATTAGAATCAATCACAATGTGCTACATTGCATGAATGGGTAAAATATAGTATATCTTGCAAATTGAGTATCCTTTGGCAGCAAAATAAAATATAAGTATATTGGCAAGAAAGATATGGAAGATATCTGAACGCATGGTGCTCCAATGAAGTCAATCTGAAATGACTACATAGTATATGATGCTAGTTATGTAGCATATGAAAATGACATAATTATTTAGTCAATGATATTGCTGAAGGTTAATCACAGGTTTTGAAATGGTGGAGCAAGTGAATAGCTAAAACAAGGGATGACTTTATTATAATACAAATATTCTGTGTGATAATACATTTTGGTGGCTATACTATCAATTGATTACATTATCATAGAATGCACAACACAATGCAAACTATAGACTTCAGTTAATCATAATGTATCACTATTGGCTCATAAATTGTAATAAATGTTGCACAATAATGTTGCAAAGAGAAGAAACTGGACTGAAGATTCTAGGGAAATTCTGTTTACTTTCTGCTACTTTTCTGGAGATCTGTGCATTTTTAAAAATCAGTGTATCAGAATTCTGCCAAATTGTTTAACTGTACTCAGGTGAAAGCATACCTTGCCTGTCGGATCCTATTTTCCATACAGTGCTTTCTGTGGATTAACTTCACATATTTTTTGGACCTTAAAACAAACTTCATTCATGTACAGTGTATTACATGAAAGTGCACAAAAATGTTAACTGTGGACAATGACAAATTTTACAGAAAATACTTTAGTTAGAATTTAATAGAAAAATTGCCTAGCACTTGTGTCTCAGATTACTACCCTTATGGATTAAATAACAAGGTCTCCCAAACTCTCATGTATTAAGAGTATGATCCCAATATGGCAAGTTCAGAGATGGAGCCTAAAGAAGTAAATGAAACTGTGAGACAAAAGAAATCCTTCCTTTTAAAGCTGTATGTGTCAGTATTTTGTCCTCATGATAGAAAATGAATATACTTAGCATTACATTTGTTTCCATTTAGTAATAACTTTTCAGTAAAACCTCTTCTGATTTCTAAGATCATGGGTTTTATTTTTATTTTTGACTCTAGCACAAATGGATTCACACAAATAGTTTTTGTTTGCTTTCTGGTTTTCTTTTAAGATTCATACAGTTTAACTTTCGTGTTTATTCTATGCAAAGTAAACCAGAATTTAATTGTCTGTTTTATTTTGTGGATAATTTTTATTTTTGCTTTTGGTCATGAACAATCTTTGCATATTTCTTGGAATACTAACATAGATGTCCAAGACAGTCACTACTACAATAATGTGGCATTTAAAATTCGGTGTCACAGAAGTTGAGAGTGAAAGTATATCAGAGGCTATCCTTTGGATATCAGAGACTGTGGGTAATAGCAATAATCTGTGTGTTACTTTACATTGGATGGCAACAGACAGCAATAATGTGCTGTATGTCAAAACAGCTAGGAAAAATGATTTAAAATTTTTTATAACAAAATATATTTGGTGAGTTAGATAAATTTAATCTGTTGTAAACATTTTCAATGTATTTGTGTATCAAAATATCACATTATCCCATTGATATGAACAACTTTTATGTTTCAACTTTCAGGTAAAAATAAATTTAATTATAAAATGGTTCCTCAAATCTCAGCAACAGAGAGAAATAACATTTTTTGTTCAGGTGCTTTTGGGTTTGACTGAGATTTGGCCAAAATAGTCTGGATTTCACTCAAGTTGTACACCAATTCCAAGTCTTTTGGAAGTCACTTTTCAGACAAGCAGCTGAATGGGGGCAATTTGTTCCTGTCGAAAGTGAAGATACATTGCAGAGAAATCACAGATATGCAGGCAAAAATCTCCATCCTAAGTATGTCTGCCATCACTTCTGTTAATGAGTTGAATCTAGAGTGTCCCACAAGTCTCATTAACTTAGAGATGGGCCTTTTGGGAGGTGTATGGGTTGTGCGGGCTGTATGCTCACCAATGAATTAATCCACTGATGCAGTCATGCCTCGGTGTGCTGTTAGGCAGTGGAGCCTCCGGCAGCACTGTGTCCCTCACTGTGTTCCTGAGGAGTGAGTGTGTCCCTCCTTGGCCCTTCCTTTCCCCTCTGCAGTCCCTTCTGCCAAGCTAACCTGCCTTAGACCCAGCCGCCTGTGCACTGACAATTCTACAAACCCTGAGTCAAGTAAATATTTCCTCTTTAACTTTAGGTGTTGGATATTTGGTCACAGCAATGAGAAAAGTCACTAACAGAATATTTTTCTAATAAGCTTAAAGCCTTAGATATAGTTTTTTTTTTTTTTTTACTTTTTATGATAGTCTTGATATATATCTCATTTTCTATACATTAAAACCTCTAAAGTAAATACTGCTATATGTATACAATTAAATTCATTTCTACATTTAAGTAATTATATTTAATTTTTAAATATCCATGTTTTGTTGCAAATTTTCTCTTTAAATAAATGTCATTTCTATCATGAATAATTTAAAAAATAAATTTACTTTTTAAATTTATCTTTCTATAAAGATAAGGCTTATATTTTATTAATAGGGTTATTTTATTTATTACATTAATGGGCGACTGTCATTTGAGTGAAATTATAGGTTCATGCTTATTCAGAATCCATATTTAATTTATTATCCTTACATATCATCCCAGTTCTATTTGTTTCTCTACAGAAGTTTTTGTATCCACTTTATTATTTCAATTTACAGTTATTTACTAGCATATATAAAAGCAAATTTGTATTTCCTCTGAGAAAGAACTGATATTTTCATTCATCCAGTTTAGGTTTTTGCAAATGACAATAGAGCTTCCTGTCACCTCTGCTTTTCATCTGCTTCTCCTTTTCTCTTTCTCTCTCAGAACTCCCCAAGTCAGCGCTGTAACTGACCACACGCTGACACACACACAGATGAGTGAAACTAACAATTTAGTAAAAATGGCAACAAAACAAAATTTATGATTCAATATAGTTTATTAAATAATACATCTTAATTATACAAAAATTGAGAGTGAAATTTGATCGTTTTCCATGGTATTATAAAAGTAATGCAAAGTTTTCTATAAACTATCATACAATTCAGCATATCATGTGATATGCTGAAATTTGCTTCTTTAGGTAGTTTAGTATTTAGTTGAGGTTTTGAAGACATTTGAAAGTTTATCATTATACAAGACAATGGAGATAAAGTAAAATAAGAGGTGGTAGGCAATAGGCTAAGAAGCTGTGGAAACTCCTCAGTAGAAGCCATAGGACCAGTATCTTCTACAGCACAGGGGGCGGCAACAGCCATAACCATAGCCACCATAGCCACCATAGCCATAGCCACCATAGCCACAGCCACAGCCTAGGCGGCCATAGCCGCAGCCCAGGCCACCATAGTAGCTGCCATAATAGTACATGGTGTCAGCAGTGGGCAGTTCTGTTGAGGACTGGGAAGTAGGTGTCTTGATTGTTGATGTCCCTTTCTGGGAAGACACTTTTATACCTCCTCCTGATGGATGGGAGAAAACCACAAGCAGGACAGCATCACATTATCTCTCTAATGTGGTCAAACTCATGACTGTATCTATTTCTTGAAAACAAAGCTTTCATAACTGAGATAATTTTGCTCCTATGTTGGAAATACATCATCCAATTATAGGCCTCTAAAATGAAGCTCTTGTTCTATTTATGTGACTCTAGTTCATACTATATTTAGTAAATTGTGTATATATGCCTTGGCCAATTATATGTTACAGTAAAGATCATGAAAATGTGTTCCATTTTTATTTTCATTTTGTTTTGTTTCCAATCCTCCACAGAAATATATTTATTACTCCCTTCTGTCTCCTTCCTTCTTTTTATTTCTTTCTACCTCTTTTTAATAGTTTTCTCCTTTTTCCTTGTTTGTTTATGTCCTCTTCTTTCTTAAAAAATCTTACTGGTAACTTATTTCTTAACTCTCATTCAGTATCAAATTATTTCTTGACCCTTGGTCATGACAAATGAGCAAGGCACTGGTTAATATTTGTTACCAGGTGTACACAGTGCACACTATCCTGAACTTACTCTGTGATAAATGACTCAGTTTTGCAGAAAAAACTCTCCATTGTATCTTAGAAATGTCAAATACAGTCATTACCTATTAGGGTAGTGAAAAAGCATTTTAAAGCAAGATGAGGTGCCTTGCTGGGACTTCATCAGTAACACATTTTTATATAGCAGTTTCTATAGTTCTGTAAGTTTGAATTTCTGTCAATAGCTAAAAAGAGGCTTACTGAGATGATTCCTTTGATCATCTCGAGAGCTTAGTAAAATTGGTTATTGCACTGAGAGCAGTGGTGGGACCTCGTAAAAAGAAACAACTTAAATCAACTTCATTACTGATCTTGGAGAAGTTGACCAGGTAGCAAGTCTGGGAATTAGTAGGAGCAATGGAAGAAACGGAAAGCAGAAATTCAGAGTTGATTTACAAAAAAAAGGGCTTCAGTTCTACATAAAAATTTGGAAAACTATAAAACAATACAGCTACTGAGCATAACTCTGCATTTTTCATTTTCAAAGTAAAGAGGTTTTCATGAAACTTATAGAATTACTATTTAGTAACTTGATTTGTTGGTTTGGTAGTTGTTTTTTGGATTTTAAAAAGAGAAAAATAACAAAAATTCAAGAGGCAAACATCTAAAAGTCAATAACAAAAGCAAAATGGTAACAACAGAAACAGCAAAGAACAACAATAGCTATATAGGTTTTCAAATAGGATGTTAGGAATTTGACAGTGGTTATTATATTGCATATTTTTATCTTCAAAATATTTGCTCAGGTTACCAGATACAAGAATAAAACAAAACAGTAAAACAGGAACAAAACACTGGATTTCAAAAACAAGATGGAAGGAAATCCGCCACAGTTGCCATAACACATATTGTCATCCTCCAAATGGGCCTGCAACCTCAACCAAATAATGCAAGAATTAAGTTATTATTTTACTTCAGTTGCTGTCATCTCAGCCTGCCTTCCTCTGAATCAGCCCAATGCGTACCAGGGGGAGGGGGGAGGGGGAGGAAGAGCTGCTGCTCCTGCCTCTCAGCCTGTGCACTGGTTGGCTCACAGGAAGCTGTGGTGTGGCTTCTGGATGCTCTTCCCACTCCCCTGGGAGCTGCTCCTGGAAAGTCCACGTTCTTCCCTCACTTTCCTTCATCTTGAATGAATCTACCATTTCCTACTGTGAATAACTGACAAAATAAATTTTTGTTACTTATCTTTGAAGATGTATTTGAATTTTTTGCCTTCTAGATAACATTTTTCAACATGTTTTTACTTTGTTTCTTTTTTTTTTTTTTAACATTTTATATATTTATTTATTTATTTTTTGTCTTTTTCATTTTTATCAGTACCAGGGATCGAACTCACGACTGCCTGCTTGCAAGGCAGGCGCTTATGCCGCTGAGCTAAATCCCCAGCTCCTTTACTTTATGTTTCTACATAGATAATTTCAATTGTGTGAAATTACAGATTGTTGGTTATTCTTAATCTGTTCCTAGAATAACATTATTTTAGGTCAGCTCCCATTTTATTTCATGTAGAAATTTTATTGTCAATCTGATTATTTCCCTTTTCAGGTAACAGTTTTTCTTTATGTACCTAAATTAAGATTTTTGGTTAATCTCCTAATTTTCAACTACTTGGTTTACGTTTGTCGACAGAGGACTTTCTTTTTTTATTTTAAAGAGGGTAAAATTAAACATAACAAAACATCATCAGAAAACAATTGAAGAAACACAGATTTCAAAGCAAGATCGCCAGAGATCTTCACTGTCTATCATATTGTCTCTTGTTTTCTTCCAAATGGTTGTCCATATCTTCACACACAGTGAATTTATACCGAACCAGATAGTACTAAACTGATCAGAACAGGATGATGAAGGCATTTTAGGTCTTCAAGACCAGACAATAGGGGAGTCAACAATGGCTGCCATAATGTCTCTCGTTCTCTTCAAAATAGCTGTCCATACCTTCATGTATGTGAAAATTAAATAAAAGAAAACAGACTAATTTGACTCGGGACAGAGAATAATTGTATTGCTAGATTTTATATCATGACACTACGGAATTAGTACTGGGTATCTTAGTGTCTCATTTTCTTCAGAGTATCTGTTCATTACATCGTAAATTATAGAATCTATTCTTGTAAATTGTTCAGAAGTTCTGCACAAGTGTGAATCTCTAAATGTGTACCTATCCTTTCTGTATTAGAGGGAAAAACAAAACAAGACAACCACACAAATTCCTAGAAAAACATGAAACAAAAAAGACATAAAATCACAATACCAGGTGATCTACATTAGTGACAATGATGTTTCTTGTTATTTTCAATAGAATTGTCTATATCATCAGGCATAATATAATTGAACATAGCATTACATAGCCATATTTTTTTTTTATCGGTACTAGGGATTGAACTCACGGCTGCCTGCTTGCAAGGCAGGTGCTTATGCTGCTGAGCTAAATTCTCAGCCCCACATAGCAATATTAATTAAAAAAAAACATTGGAGACATATAGGACTTCAAAATCAGTTAATAATCAAACCAGAATGGGTATCCTATGGCATCTTGTCATCTTCAGAGTAGTTGCCTCTACTCTTAGACTTGATACTATGAAGCATACCAAATTCAAATAAAATCAGTCAAGACAAAACAGCAATCTAACAAACCAGATTCAAATAAAATCAGTCATAGTAAGACACTGTAAGTAATACAGAGCTTCAGGTTAAGTTAACAGGAAATTAAGGATAGTTACTGTAGTATATCCTGCTGTTTTTGGGATAGCTGTCTGTGTCCTCAAGTGTAGTTTGAGTAGACAGATTGGAACAGAATAAAATCAAACTAAACAGAGTGATAAGACTAATGTGGCTTTTAAATCCTGACACACTATTAACAATGTCATCTGCCTTCTTTTTTAGACAGTTCCTCTCCTTTCACTTTCTCAGGGTTCTTTGTACATTTTGGGTCCCATTAACTCCGTTAGCTTTTAGATTAGAGGGGTAACCTGCTACCTACCTAAGTGGTTCTTTACCTTTTTACCCCTGGGCTTGATTTGAGCTGTACTCCTTTACCTACTAAAGCAAGATTTTCCTTCTTTATAACTGAGTAGTTCTCCACTGCACGAAAGTGTCATGACTTTCCAGCCTATCTGCAGCTGCTGGATGAGTTGTCCCTATTTCTCACTGGTTCCCTGTCACATAGAGCATTGTTTCCTTATCTTTGACTTTCAGCCCATAAACCTATACAGAGCATCTCAATAGACCTTGTCTCCTGATCTGCTCTGCTTCTGTTTCTTTTGTTAGTGTATCCAGGCCATCTGTGTTACAGATTATAGCCAACCTTCTCTGCCTCCTCTCTGCTATGCTATTTCTGTGCTGTTGGTTGTCTAATTTCACTGCACTGTCTGCCCACATTTTTCTCTTTTATGAAGTGTGATATATCCTTTATACTTTGTATATTATTTTTCATACTTGAATTCAGCTGATGTTATTTTACATACAATTTTAGTTAACTCATTTACCTAATAGTATTGAGTTTTTATATATATTACTCACTTTTTTGATAACTAGAATTTAACTTAGATTCCATGGTGAATTTCTCTAGTTTTGACATGTATCTTGTAAATTATTTTAAATATTGAATATTTATTAATTATATCTATCCTGCAAGTCTTGTCTATAAACATAAGATGCTTCTTATGTTTTAGTTAGATTTTATAATCTGTTACTTTTATATATTTCCACAGTTTCATCCACTCAACGTTTATTAATAAAAATATAGATGGTCTGAATCAGTGTCAAATTTCAAGCTAGGTAGTTTTGTGTTTTTTCCTAAGATCTTCGAAAACATGGTGTCTGAGCCTGTGGTGATGTCCCATTTACTATAGAGGTTGAAGTGGGAGGATCATTTGAGTTCAGGAGTTTTAAATAGTCATGCACAGGGGCTGGGGATTTAGCTCAGGGGCGTAAGCGCCTGCCTTGCAAGCAGGCAGTAGTGAGATCCATCCCGGTACCGATAAAAAGGAAAAAGACAAAAAAAAAAAAAAAAAAAAATTAGTCATGCACAATGTAACAAGATCCACCTAAAAATAAAGAATGGGAGAAAGAATGCAAGACAGACAGAAGTGAGAGGAGAGAGAGAGAGAGAGAGAGAGAGAGAGAGAGAGAGAGAGAGAGAGAGAGAGAATTAAGAAAAAAGGAACTATACAAAGCAAAGAAGGGAAGGAAGAAAGAAAACTTTCCTATGACCCAAGCAAAGATTAACATATAAAAAGACAATGATATAGATAAATTTGTTTTATATATTCTATAAGAGATATCCTTTTAAATAAAGGTATTACTTGTTGGGTAACTGTTAATACTAGTGATTAGTTTTTTGTCACACTGATGTGTAAATTTTTCTAGTTTTCTGGTG